ACCTGCACATCCCTGGGCACTATGGGGCAAATACTTCTGTATTTGTTTCAGATTTCTAGCAGAGAGAGTTCTTTCTTGAATATGACTGTATTAGTTTATTGTGCGCTCGGAGCTGTCGTAGCTAATGAAGATCTGCGGCATTTGTCCTTTTGTGAGATATGAGCATCTTGCCAGTACTTGTTGGCCATCCCTCATGGCCCTTGCACTGAACGGTTTGCCCAGCCATTTCACAGGGAAGTTAGGAGTGGACCACATTTGCCATGGGTCCATCAGACTGTGTACAGGCAGCGGATTTCCTTTGCTAAAGGACGTTAGTGAACCAGATAGTTTTTTAAATGGCAGTCGGCGATAGTTTCGTAACGCTATTACTGAAATGAGTTTTTTGCATTCTTAAGAGTTATTAGTTTTAATTCAAATTCCGTCAGCTGCCCTTATTTAAAAATTCATTTGTGGGTGTCCCTGGCAGGGCCCAGCATTTATTGCCTGTCCCTAGTTGCCCTTGAGAAGGTGTTGGTGAGTTGCTACTTTGAGCCACTGCAGGTCACCTGCTGTGGGTTGACCCACAATGCCATTAGGGAGGGAATTTCAGGATTTTGACCCAGTGACAGTGATATATTTCCAAGTCAGGATGGGGAGTGGCTCAGAGGGGAACTTACAAAGGGGTGGTGTTCCCATGTATCTGCTGCCCTTGTCCTTCTAGATGGCAATGGTGTAGGTTTGGAATGTGCTGTCAAAGGATCTTTGGCGAATTTCTGCAGTACATCTTTGTAGATGGTACACACTGCTGCGACTGAGTGTCGGTGGGTGGAGGGAGTGGGGTGTTTGTGGATGTGGTGCCAATCAAAGCGGGGGCTGCTTTGTCCTGGATGGTGTCGAGTTGCTCAAGTGTTGTTGGAGCTGCCCCCATTCGGGGGCAAGTGGGGTGTGTTCCCTCACACTCCTGACTTGTGCCTTGTAGATGGTGGATGGGCTTTGAGGAGTCCGGAGGTGAGTTACTCACCACAGTATTTCTAGCCTTGCTAGGCTTCGAAAGCCTGTTTCCAGAGCATTATCGTTGACCTGTGAATTACTAGTCCCTCTGGCTGTCTCCTCCTAAATTGTTTCACCCATACAGCAGAGAGCAGATTTTCAGTCTCGCTGGTCAGGCTGCTCTTGGCATAGATCTCTGAGGGGTTTAAAAAATATGGATCCACTCTGTATACATCTCCTGAGACCTTTTCCAACCCAGCCACTTCCTTTCCAGTAGTTGCAAATGAACATTTTTAATTTCCCCACCACCCCCTTACCAGTGCTGATATTGAAGGTAAAATTTATATTTAGGGAATAAAAACAGCAAGTATTGGAGAAATGTAGTCTAGCAGTATCCGTGGAGAGAGAGAAACAGAATTAATGTTTTGAGCCTGACATGAGTTCTTCAGAACCAAAGAACTCTTCAGAAAAAAGTGTCATGTCAGACTCGATGTTAACTCCCTATCCCTCTCCCCATGCGCTGGCAGACCTGATGAGTTTCTCCTGCATTTTCTGTTTTATTTTGCATTCCCAGCAGCCACAGTCACTTGCTTTTATTTTATGTAGGGTGTTTTTTTTAAAAATTAACTCCTTGCCAGTCCTCTTTCGCACGCTCTCCCTGCGCATCCTCAAATATTTTCGTCCAGTTTTTCTTTAAATGTGCCTTCCAGTTTTTGCTCCCCATTGTGCGACCGGTCCTTATTCTCTGGCCCTTGGAACTTTCTCAGTTGACGCGCTTCTTGCAGCACAAGTAATTTTTCTACAGGAATCATTGAGCAGGGAATTCCATTATCTGTGATTAGGCTTTTAAATTCGTCGATAACAAAAGCCCAGTGTGTGAAGAGTGGGAACAGATTGTATTTACAGCAGAGTGGTGGTGGGTGGGTATGATTATTGGCATGGCAATCTCACCCAGAAGTTCAAATAGGCCTCATAAAAGTGTCAGTGAATCAAAGCATGAAAATGATTTATTGTCTTCTGGACCCGATGATGAACTAATCACTTCCACCCACACACACGTTTGCTACTGATTTTGATTTGATTTAAAGTTAAATCGAAATTGCTAGTGCCATCTGTGGAAGCACTTTTTTTTTCAAAATAAACCCGTCTTTCTGTTCCCCTCTCGCTAACTCCCTCTCTGCCCGGGATACGGCACAGTTGTAAAGACACACCATTTGTGAATTTGCTTAACTGCTCCAAAACAACATACACCATTTCACCCACCACCTCCGTTGCATGTACAGTCTTCACTTACCTTTGGTTTGATTTGATTTATTATTGTCACCTGTACCTAAGTACAGTGAAAAGTTTTGTTTTGTGTGCAGCACAGGCAGATCATAACATGCAGGGACATACAGATCACAGACTGAATAAGCGAGGCGTGCAAAAGGTTGCGGCTGCACAAGAGGTACTTAGAATCAAGGTTTAAAAGTGCAGAACAATTGTAAGAAACGTGAGAATAAGATTTGCTGTAGGGAGCTTGCAAAGAGCTGCCCTGTATTGGCGGCATCTTGAGTAACAACTTTCAGGAAAGAACAGAAAGAAATTTGAGGCAATATCAAGAACGAAGAGAGTGTCTAGATGAATTTTTTTAAAAATTAAGGCACGGTAGGTGTTTGCGTGTGTACGTTGTCTGCCATATTTATTGGAATGTTTGTATGTGGTGGACTTTGCTGGAGAGCATTATAATAGGAACGTGAGACTAATTTTATGTTTCCTATTTTATTGAATAATTTTTCCAGCAAGACGTTATATTTATTCGAAGCATTCTTCTTTACATATCAAATTTTGGGATGGTTGGAAGTTTTTGGGGAGACAGCGTTTATGCCAGTGGGCTCGTAATCTAGATTAAGCCATAATCTAACACTTCAACACGCTACCATGTTCCTTAGCCAACATCTCTGTCCCAGGCTTGCTGCAGTGCTCCAGGGTAGCTCAGCGCAAGCTGGAAGAACAGCATGTCATTTTCTGCTTGGCAGCTCTGCAGCCCTCCGGACTCGATATTGAGTTCAACAATTTTGGGGCTTTTGGCACCTCCTCCCGTGCCTTTGGCTCAACCCCACCACACACCAGACCTTGTTATCACATGGGCTGCTATTACACACCACCCATTGTTAGACACTAATTGTCCCCGATAGCAGCTATTCATTCTTCCAGGCCGAACGTTATCCACTCTTTTGTCCAAATGTTCTTCTCTCTCTCTTTGGGCTCTATCTTCACACACCATTTACTCCTTACCCCGACCCTATTTTCCGCATAAAAATAAACATTTTCCTAACTACCATCCATTCTGAGGAAGGGTCACTGGACCCGAAACGTTAACTCTTGATTTCTCTTTCCACAGATGCTTCCAGACCTGCTGAGCTTTGACAGCAACTTCTGTTTTTTGTTAGTAAACTATAGGCCCAGACTTAAGCTCTGGACTCACCACGTCAAATCCCAACATGCCAGCTGGTGGAATTAATGGAGGCCGTTGTCAATTTGTTGTAACAAATAACCTATCAGGTTGTCCTTTCAAGGACAGAAATCTGTCATCCTGATCCTAACCAGTCTACGTGTGACTCTGGATCCATGGCATTGTGGTTGACCCTTAACTGCCATTTAAAAGGGCCCTAGTGAGCCATTCAGTTCAAAGGCTATTAGGGTGCGCCACAGAATACTAGCCTTGCCAGTGGCGCCCACATCCTACGAAAGAATAGTTTTTTAAAAATCTAGCAAATTGACTCCCAATATGAAAGATGTTTGCCATTCATGAACGTCATGCCGGCAAACAACAGGATTCGATTATAATCGTGCTCTGTCAGTGCATGATGCTTATGCTGAAGGACCTTATCTTTCCCACTTCCCTCCCTTTACGTTTTAACCTCCTTCCGTCCTCTGGAAGTATCTATTCCTGTACCGATGGTCCATTTGGTGTTGGGAGAGTGGTGAGACCACACCTGAAGTGCTGTGCGTTGTTCTGTTCTCCACATTTAAGGAATGATGCACCTGTATTAGTGAAGGCTTTCCAGATTAATTCATGGGATGAGAGGCTGATTAAATTGGGTTGATATTCTCTCTCTCTCTCTGACTGACTGTCTGTCTCTCTCTCTCTCTCTGACTGACTGTCTCTCTCTCTGTCCCTCTCTTCCACGCATGCACACGCACGCACACATGACAGGGGAATCTAAAACATGGGACACAGTCACAGGATAAGGGCTGATCTTTTAGGATTGAGATGAGGAGGAATTATCTCACTCGGAGGGTGACAAATCTTTGGAATTGACTACCTGATCAGGATTATGGATACTCTGTTGTTGGATACATTTAAGATTGGGCTAGACAAACATTTGCGTCGTCTATTTAAAGCAGAGGGCTGTGCGGCTTTGGAACTCTGTCCCTGAAAAGGTGGTGGAAGCCAGCACACTTTCTGGTGCAGGTTACCAGTAACTGTTGAGAAGCAGTACCATAAAAGCCTTCATTTACCATTGCAAGGTTACTTGAGTTCAATGTGCGTTGGAACGCACACAGAGAGGCTGGAAACAGTCAGTAAGTCTGGCAGCATCTGGGGAGAGGGAAGTAGAATTAGCAGGCCCTTTGGTTAACTCTGTTTTCCTTCGTACAGTGGCTACTGACCTCCCAAGCGTATCCATCAGTTTCTGTTCTTATTCTGGATTTTCATCCTCCAAGAATCATTTAATTTTGTCACCTCTGTGGTGCAACGCTAGACAGAAGCAGTGTTCTCTGAGTTCTGAGGAAGGGTCACCGGACCCGAAACGTTAACTCTGTTTTCTCCTTCACAGGTGCTGCCAGACCTGAGTTTTTCCAGCAACTTTGTTTTTGTTCTCTATATGTGTGACCTGTTTGGTAAGATTTTTCTCTGCTTGTGGCTTCCATTTCTAAAAGAAACAAAACACAACGTTTGTAATTTCAGGCTTCCCATCCGATTGGTTTTCCTAGTTGCAAGCTTGCTGTTTCTGACAGTGAATTTGACCTGTGCCTTGCTGGTGAAGATACAGCACATGGAGACCAAAACCATCGTCCTGGTCCGGGTCATCATCAACGACTCCCTCTTCGTCGCCTGCGCCATCACGCTAGCAGTCTGCCTGTATGTCATTGCTAAGACATCACCTTCCACCAGTATCTACTTGGAATCCAAGGTAACTCCCAGGTGCACCCTGCTGTGGTTCAAGCCATTTCAATGACTTTTGCATGTGGTTAGATAGTGGTTTCATCTCAGCTGCGGCCCTTTGTCTGTTCGCTTAGACAGGCTCTCTGTGTGGGGCGAAGGCCTGTATTTGAAACAAAACAATATCCTCACTGTCCATGCAGAAATGTGAGAATACTGTATTGCTATTTTATAAGGAGAAACGCATAGAGATGGGTGAAGGAAAGGATTGTAAGGCTCACTACTTTGTCAACATTGTGACTCCCGCGAGGGAGGGGAAACAACTGGGGTTGCAGCTCTCAATCCACTGTCCCCTACCGCTCCTAAACCTTCAGCTGTAAACTGTGTGGAGATTAGATGGGGCTGTGGTACCTGCTCAGACAAGTAGTCCATTGACATTTAATGTAAAGACAGAATACAGCGGTTGCTGGAAATCTGGAATAAACACAGATTGGCTTTCTGAAAACAAAGTAGATGTGGGAGATCACAGCAGGTCAGGCGACGTCCGTGGAGCGAGACCAAGCTAATGTTTCGAGTCTAGATGACTGTTCATCAGAGCTGATGTGAAGTGTGGAGGGGGCGGCATTTAAGCAGTAGTTGGGGGGATTTAGAGTGCTGGGGGGTAAAGGGTACTGATATTGCAGAGTTAAGTGATTCGAATGTGAGAATGGCAGAACTGTGGTGTGTCTAACTGTCGGACTGGGAAGAACAGACAGTCCCACTGGGATGGGCAGAAGTGAGAGAGGACTTGATGACAGAGAATGTAACAGGTAAAGCTAATAGAAAGGGAAGAAATGGGTGAGGGTTCACAATCTGAAGCTGTTGAACTCCATGTTAAGTCCAGGATTTTTTAATTTGTTTTCTGTACAGATTCCAGCATCTGCAGTAATTTGCTCCTACAGATTAACTTTCTTCAGTATTTGACTCTGTTAACACTTCTTGTTCAGGTATAAGAAGATCTTGCATTTATACCACACCTTTCTCAGCCCCCATATGTGTGAAACATTTTACAGCTAATTAAATACTTTCTGAAGTGTAGTCACGGCAGTGAGACGTGCAAGCCAATCTTTGTAAAGTAAGGAAACTTACAAATGGCAATACAGTAATAACCAGATCATCAGTGATTTTTTTTATTCATTAACGGGATGAGGACATTGCTGGCTAGGCAGCATTTATTGCCCATTCCTAACTGCTCAGAGGGCAGTTAAGAGTCAACCACATTGCTGTGGGTCTGGAGGTAGATGTAGACCAGACCAGGTAAGGATGGCAGTTTCCTTCCCTAAAGGGCACTAGTGAACCAGATGGGTTTTTCCGACAATTGGCAATGGATTCCTGGTCGTCATTAGACTCTTTCTTCCAGATTTTTATTGAATTCAAATCCGACCATCTGCTGTGGCTGGATTCAACCCGGGTCCCCAGAACATTGCCTGGGTCTCTGGATTGATAGGCCTGTGACAGTACCACTACGCCGTCGCCCCTCCGACGTTGCTCGAGGATTTGAACGTTAGCCAGGGCTACGAGGAGCAATCTCCTCATTTTCTTCGAAATGCAAGTGGCTGGGGGTCTTTCGCATCTAACTGAGAAGCCAGCATGAGCCTTGGTTTAATGTCCCATCCAAACGGTGGCGGCACAACAGTGCACAGGCCTGATGAGGGCTGGCATTAGGAATGTCTGTTTGAATTGTGTGCTCAGGCCTTGAGTGGGACTAGAATGGCCAGCTTTTCGGCACAGGGTCATAGGTGCTGCTCCCGAGTCACAACTGAGGTTGAGACAGCAAAGAGCACCTTCCTCCCCCCACTCCATGGGGCTATTGGGAGGCTCCAGCTTCAGATAGAAGTATTGAGGGCAGTTTCAGAGCCATGCCTTTATGTAGCTTGCTGTCAAAACTCCGCTGGGCAATGGGTTCAAAACTGGCCCGTTCTTCTTGTCAATGCTATAGAATGACCTAAAGTCTTGTTGCAGCTTTACAAGATGTTGGTGAGGCCACATTTGGAGTAATGTGCGCAGTTCTGGTCACCCTACAATGGAAAGAAAATTGTTAAACTAGAAAGAGTGCAGAAAAGATTAACTAGGATGCTACCTAGACTGGAAGGATTGAGTTATAAGGAGAGGTTGGAAAGGCTGGGACTCTCTTTTTCCCCTAGAGTGTAGGACACTGAGGGGTAACCTTATAGAGGTCTATAAGATCATGAGAGGCGTAGATAAGGTAGATAGCCAACAGCTTTTCCCCATGGTAGGGGAGTCTAACACTAGAGGGTACAGATTAAAAGTAAGGGGAGAGATACAAGAGGGTACAGAACGGCAATTTCTTCACACCGCGTGGGGAGTGTCTGGAATGGGCTGCCAGAGGTGGAGGTGGAGGCGAGTACAATTTTGTTATTTAAGTAACATTTGGATGGGATTAGTATGGATGGATATGGACCAAACGCAGGCAAACGGGCCTAGGTTAAATTGTGTGGCGGGGACAATTTGGGTTAAAGGGCTTGTTTCCATGTTTTTTCTTCAGACTGTGTTGCTGCAAGTAGCAACCTTCAGTGCATCACCCTTCGAGTAACGACCTTCAGAACAGGCTGTAAACTGCCTCCTTGAACTGCAGCAGGGTATTGCAATCCCACTAATTCCATCTGGTGTCAGCCTTCTGAACATAACTTAAATTCCATCAGGGCCGGGTTAAAACGGGTCGGAAACCGTTTCGTTTGTGGAAAATATGTTGCTGAAAGGAGTTCATACCTAAGAGCACGTGCAATGTGCCTTAATGACTACCACCCAGTGACTCTGACCTTAATAATCATGGAGTGCTTCAAGAGGCTGGTCATGGCCCACATCAACTCCAGTCTCCCAACCTGCCTCAATCCCCTACCATTTGCCTACTGACGTAACAAGTCTACAGAGGATGCCATATCCCTAGCCCTGCACTCATCCCTGGAACATCTGGACATCAAAGACACCTACGTCAGTCTCCTGCTTGTTGATTACAGCTCCACCTTCAACACCATTATCCCCTCCAGACTGATTTCAAAACTCCTTGACCTTGGTCTTGGCTCCACCCTCTGCAACTGGATCCTCAGCTTTCTGACCCACAGGCCACAATCAGTGAGGATAGGTAACTGCACCTCCTCCACAATAACCTCAACACTGGAGCCCCCCAGTGATGCATCCTCAGCCCCCTACTGTACTCCATGTACACCTACAACTGTGTTGCCAAATTCCAAATGAATACCATCTACAAGTTCGCTGACGACACCACCGCAGTGGGACGGATATCTAACAGCAATGAGTCAAAACACAGAATGGAGATAGAGGGCTTGGTGACGTGGTGCGATTGAAAACAATCTGTCTCTCAACGTCGGCAAAACTAAAGAACTGATCATCGACTTCAGAGAGAAAGGAGGAGAACACGCCCCTATCTACATCGATGGAACTGAGCGTGAAGATCACCAAGTTCCTCGGAATGATGATAACCGACAACCTGTCCTGGACTACCCACGTAGATGTGATAGTCAAGAAGGCACAACAACGCCTCTTCTTCCTCCGGCAGCTCAGGAAATTCGGCATATCCATAAGGTCCCTTACCAACTTCTACAGATGCACTATTGAAAGCCAACTGTCCGGATGCATAACAGTCTGGTATGGCAACTGCTCTGGCCAGGACCGTGAGAAACTACAGAAGGAGGTATGCACAGCCCAGACCATCACGGAAGCCAACCTTCCATCCATGGACTCCATTTACATGGCTCACTGCCGTGGAAAGACTACCAACTTCGTCAAAGACCCATCGCAACCCGGTAATGCTCTCCTACAACCTCTTCCTTCAGGCAGAAGATACAGAAGCCTGAACACTTGCACAGGCAGGTTCAGGAACAGCTGCTACCCAGCCGTTATCAGACTGTCGAATGGACTCTGTAGCCTCAAACAATGCTGATCTTGCCTAGCACATGCCCTGTGCAATGTAACCAGTAGGCTTCTGGCTAAGTCTTTTTGATCTGTACATCCTTTGCTTACTATGATCTGCCTGTACCGCTTATAAACAAAGCTGTTCTCTGTATTTTGGTACACATGACAATAAATCAATCAATTGAGCCCATTGGCTGTGTTGTCTGGGCAGTCGACTGGATAATTGGGGCTTGTGTCAAAAAGCTGCAGCTGATCTTGTTCTTAAAGCGTTCTCTGCCTTTTTAATGATGGGTTTTTTTTGACTGACTTTTCTTTAGGGCACATCAGTCTGTCAGACTACAGCTGTGGGAGCATTGGTGTTCCTTCTGTATGCAAGCCGAGCCTGTTATAACCTGGTTGCTGTGATGTGTTCACCAGATTCGCACGACTCCTTTGATTATGGCTGGTACAACGTTTCCGACCAGGTGACTTGTGGGACCAGAGTGCTCCCGACTCTTTCGGACTGGGTGTGATTTTGCTGTTGACTGCCACGTTGATGGCTCGGCCGGTTCAGGGCGACTCTCCCCGGGTTAGGGAGGCGGGAGAAAATGAGAAAGCCTTTGTTCCAGGAGGGCGCTTCCCTGTTGCGGATAAAGCTGGGGTGGGCGGGATCTGTTTGGGTTGCCGCTTCCTGCAGCGGAATGTCAGCCTGGGAAATGTGCTTCAGTCTCGAGTGAGACTTGAACCTGTGACCTCGAGAGAGAGTGCTGGCGGGTTATTGCCTTTGGGAGACGGGTTGGGGGTCGGGGGGGGTGGGGATGATCAGTGATTCTACACGGCTGTAAAGTCATGACATTGCTGATGAATGGAATAAGATTGTAAGTGTGTGTGTGTGTGTGTGTGTGTGTGTGCGTGCACACGTGCGGCAGTGGCAGATACTTCCCTTGGAAATGAAAAGAATTTTTGTTTTGCCTCCATCTCCTACAGGCTGATCTGATGTCGAATCTCGGGGACAAAGGTTACCTTGTGTTTGGTTGCATCCTGTTTTTTTGGGAACTGCTGCCCACAGCCCTGCTAGTGTTGTTTTTCAGAGTTCGCAGACCAGCTCAGGATCTGGTGAGTCGGGTGAGAGTTTGCATTGTCGTTCTTCTCTCCTCCTGCCCTGGTGAAAACAAATTTCCTGTGATCCCGGTGCTTTGGCAATGTTCGCTGAGAATTCTCGTTGCTCTGTTTGGAATCATTATCCTGAACTTGAGGGGAGACTATGTGGAAGGGAGACAATAGCCTAGTGGTATTAACGCTGGACTGTTAATCTAGACACCCAGATAATGTTCTGGGGACCTGGGTTCGAATCCCGTCACGGCAACATTGTGGAATTTGAATTCGATAAATGCCTGGAATGATGACCGCGAATCCGTTGCCGATTGTCGGAAAAACCCATCTGGTTCACTAATGTCCTTTAGGGAAGGAAACGACCATCCTTACCTTGTCTGGCCTACATGTGACTCCAGACCCACAGCAACGTGGTTGACTCTTAACTGCCTTCTGGCAGTTAGGGATGGGCAATAAATGCTGCATAGCCAGCGACGCCCACATCCAGTCCCCCCTCAATTTTGCTGGATTTCACAGAATCGTTAAGGCTCAGAAGAAGGCAATTTAGCCCATCTGTCTGAAACGGCTGTCTAAACAATTTAACTTACTGCTACCCTCCTGTATTTTGCCTGTACCTTACACCTGTTTCTATTTCAATAATCCTCCACTGCCCTCCGAAATACTTTAATTGAACCTGCCTCCCCCATACTTCCAGGCAATGCATTCTGGATTCTTAACTCCTCGTTGTGTGAAGAAGATTTTTCTCCTTGTCTCCCGTTTGCTTATTTTGCAAAGTGCTTTAAAATTGTGCCCGTCTGTTTCTCAGTCCTCTCATGAGCAGGAAATGGTTTCTCTCTGTCCACCCTTAAATCTCATGATCTTGAAGACTTCGATCAAATCTTCTCTGAGCCTTCTCCTCCACGAGGGAAACGATCCCAACCTCTCCAACAAATACTGAAATTGCTGGAAAAACAGCAGGTCTGGCAGAGATAAAGCAGAGTTAACTTTTCGGGTCCAGTGACCCTTCTTCAGAACAGAACAACCTCTCCAATCTTTCCTCATGACTGAAATGTTTCATCCCTGGAACCGTTCTCGTAAATTTCTGCTGCACTTTATCAATGTATTCACAACCTTCCCAAACTGTGCACCCAGAACTGTGCACACAGTACTGTAGCTGAGGTCTAACCAGTGTCATGTATCAATTTATCACGACCTCCCTGCCCTTATACTCCCTATTTGTAAAACCTAGGTCTTAAAATGCAAGTGTTGTTCCCAAAGCAGGAGATAGGGTGCTGAAATAACTCCACAGAGACAAGTATCCCATCATCAGGTAACCCTTTATTTACACGTGGAGAGTCCTTGACACTGATCCAGCTTCCTCAGAGTCAGCTCTCTAAGTGAACAGGATGTCTGACTCTCCTGTTTATATCTGTCAGCTAGGGCCCCCTGACAGCCCCAACCAGGGAACTCATATTTTATGTTCTGAGGAAGGGTCACCGGACCTGAAACGTTAACTGTGTTTTTCCCTTCACAGATGCTGCCAGACCTGCTGAGCTTTTCCAGCAAACTTGTTTATGTTCCTGATTTACAGCATCCGCAGTTCTTTCAGGTTTTTATTTAACTCCTATTCTATGATGTCCATCTGGCTGACCTCCTTACAAACACGACATCCCTCACCCTCTGAGTCCGAGGACATAGGGAGCTGCTTCTTTCTTTGTAGCTCCTCCTGGGGCGTTTTAGCACTGAGGCAGGTTCATCCGACTCTACCTCGGATATGGGCAGCATCTAACACACAGTAACTCGCCTCTCGCGCTGGGTGCGTTTCGATAGAAATTCATTCACTTTAAGCGGCAAAGCGTCGAGGTGGCAACATTTGCTGAGTCCATCTCAGATTCTGGGGTCTCTTCAACACTTGATGGAGAGGGAGAACCCACGGGTCCCGACAGCCTTTTCTGACTGTTCCAAGGAGACGGGCACATCTTACTCCCACCCTGTTTGCGAGTTTGCAGCTTTCATATGGTCCCACATGCTTGTTCAGGACCATCGCACCTACCCGAACTTTATACGTCACCGTGCCTGACCTCGCGTCAACCCATGCCTCCAACCCATTCCAGTGGTTGCTATGTCAAACTTTGTCCCTTGAAGTAAACTGTCTGTCTCACCTAGCAGAGTCTCGTGTCCAGCATTGATGTTCCTGATGCTATTTCACCCTCTGTTACTCCAGGTCCGGGAAGACCAGATTTAACCTGGTGCGGCGTCTTCTCCCCCATTACCAACTCTGCTGGAGATATATCTATAGTTGCATGAGGGGTGGTTCTATAATCAAATAGGAACTGGGACAGTTTGGTATCTAGGGAAGGTGTAGGTTGTTTCTTTAAGCCTGCCTTCAAAGTTTGGATTGCTCTTTATGCCAGACCATTGGATGATGGATGGTATGGAGCTGTCCTTAAATGTCGAATACCATTTGATTTTAGGAAATACTGAAATTCCTTGCTGGTAAATGTTGGCCTGGTATCTGTGACCAACATTCCTGGCAGTCAGTGCATTGCAAAAGGTGCACAGTTTTTCTATCGTCGTCCCTGTATTTGACAAATGGACTCTGTGCACGTCCAGCCACTTTGAGTGGGTGTCTACAATGACAAAGAACATTGAGCCCATGAAAGGACCTGCACAGTCGACGTGTAACCGAGTCCAGGGTTTACCCATCCGTTCCCACCAATGTGGGGAGAGCTGCTGGCGGTAATTTTTGTCCTTGTTGGCACTCTGGGCACTGCTCCCCCCCCCCAACACAGCTATGTCTGCATCCAATCCTGGCCACCAGACATAACTGCTTACCAACATCTTCATTTTGGAAACTGACCTGGTGGAGTTCAGCCAGTACCTAGCAATGACCTTTCCTCGGAACAATCAGTCATGCTCCCCATAATAATATGCTGTCCTCTACTGTGATCTGGTCTCTCCGGGTCCAAACAGGTTTTAATTCTGGTTGTGATGGCCCTTTGGTCACCAGCTGTTTCAGTTTTGCCAGGACCAGATCCTTCTGCGTCCAAAGTCTGATATTGTCAGCTGTGACTGGAAGGGTGTCCACAAAATTTAAAATTATTACGGACTTTTCCAGTGGCGGTACCACCAGTGATGTATCTGCCAGTGGGAGGTGCCTCAATGCATCCACATTTGTTACTTGGCCTCCCAGACAGTGTTCCAACTTGTAATTGTACACACAAAAACAGAAGCTGCTGGAAAAGCTCAGCAGGTCTGGCAGCATCTGTGAAGAAAAAATCAGAGTTAATTTCGGGTCCAGTGACCCTTCCTCAGAACTGAGTTCCAGCAACTTCTGTTTTTGTTCCTGATTTACAGCATCCGCAGTTATTTCGGTTTGCAATTGTACGCACTTATTATCAGAGACCAGCGCTGAATGCGGCCTGAAGCTGTGGGCAGCACAGCCTTGTCCTCTTTTAGTAGACCCAGCAGGGGTTTGTTATCCGTTATTATTATTACAGGTTTACATCTGTAAAAGTATTGGTGAAACTTCCTGACTCCAAATATGACCGGCAAACCTTCCAAAGTCCTGGATGCATATACTATTGGGTGTTCCTCTCTGTTGGGCCCTCTTGAGCTAATACTACCCCAATGCTGTGTGGGGAGCTTTTGCTGGTTAGTACCAGATCTTGCTTGGGATCATTGTGTGCCAACACATTAGAGGATGATCACTGTTTCTTTACTACCCTGAAAGCTATGGCTTGGCTATGTGACCATTTCCAAGGCTGATCCTTTTATTAAGAGTTTATGCAAAGCTGCCAGGATTCAGGTCAGGTTATATATTTCAACAGCCCAAGGGAAGATCTAAACCCCAGTAGAGACATGGGAGCTGGGGCACCGTTGATCGCCCTCAGTTTATCTTCCAACAGGTGTAGCCTGGTCTTGTCAACTCTGTAGCCCAAGTAGGTCACTTGGGGTGCCTGGAGAACACACAGTTCCCTTCTAAGGTGTATGCCCACCCAAGAGAAACATCTAAGGACTATGTCCAAGTTCTTTAAGTCCTCCATATTAGTCTTCCCTGTTATTAGCAGGGCATCTGGATAAATGGCGACCTGGGGTAGACCCGCTAAAATGTTGTGTATCGTCCACTGAAGAATTGCACAGGCTGACAATTCCCCAAATGGCAGTCTCATATATTGGTACAAACCCTTATGGGCATTAATTGTAGCAAACATCTGGGAATCCTCATCTAATCACAGTTGCAAGTACACATGGCTCATGTCCAACTTTGGGAAGGACAGCCCCCTCCCCCCGCCAGCTTTGCCTATTAATTTGATAAATATATGAGAGGGATTGGGTATTTATCCAGCTGCGAAAAGCATTTACCGTTTGTTTAAAATCCCCACAAAGGCGAACCAACCAGTCAGGCTTCACAGTCGATACAACCAGTGCTGCCCATTCCGCAAACTCTACTGGTTTGATGATTCCTTCGCTTTCCAGCTTCCTGATTTCTGCCCCTACTTTTGCCCATAAGGCAAATGGCAAATGGCACTTGGCAGGCCTTGCAGAATCATGGAATTGTTTCCTGGTCAACATGCAAGGATGTTGCTAAGCAATTTAACTGTTCCAAACCAGATGTTGGTGGACGTTCCGGGGGCATGCACTCTCCTGGATACCGGCCTATGAGTTCTCTTGCTCAATTTAGTTCTGGTGGGATTCTTGCTATCTCGAGTCTGAGCAGCAACAACAATGGCTTGCAGGCCTGGATCCTGAAGAAATTTTTAACTGTTTGGTTGATGTTTGGCTTTGTTTTAGGGTTTTGCTGTGGGCTGACCTAGAGTCCCACTGTTCAGGATGTGTCCTGAGTGAGGCTATGCAATTGCCTTCACTCAAGTGGTGTTTCCCAAGCTCGGTTGGACTGGGGAGGGTATCCACTTCCATCGGAATACCCTGCAAATTATTTACTCCATATGCCGCATTTTCCAATGATAAAGCCAGTTGTAGGGCCTGTTTGAAGTGCCATTAGGCCTCAGCTAATAGGCGCTTTTGCATGGTTATAGCATTAATCCCACATACCAATTTCACAACAGCGAGGAAAACAATTTCTGTTCTATTTGCTTGTGCTACCTTGAGTTCTTTTACTAATCAGATCAAATGACTGATGAGGTGCAGTATTCAATACCAATCAATCGTTTCAACCATTGCTTATTTACACAGCTGGTTTGTGTGCTGCTAGCACACCTTATACATATGTTTTGAGTGACTGACTTTGTCTCACTAGGGAATCATATTAACTAACTGCTGTCAAAGAGCTCTAAATGTAGCAATAGCTTCTCTCCCGTTTTGAAAGCCAAAATTACACTGCGTTTCTGCTCGTGCATTCCTTTCTCCAGCTAATGGCGACGTCGCCTGTAAACACGGCCTTGCAAATCACTGATAATGTTGCACACATCATGGCTGTTTGCCATTGGTGTGTATCTGGGAAGTGTAGGCACATGGACTAACAGCAAGCTGCTAACCTATCTTGACTGTTTCCCGAGATGAACTATACAGAGTCATAAAGTATGGAAACAGGCCCTTTGGTCCAACTTGTCCCTGCCAATCAAGTTTCCCAAATGAAACTAGTCCCACTTGCCTGCATTTGGCCCGTATCCTTCTAAACCATTCTTCTTAATGAACCTATCCAAATGTCTTTTTAAACCTTGTAACTGTACCTGCATCCACCACCTCCACTGGCGGTTCGTTCCACACAATAACCAGTCGGCGTAAATTAGTTGTCCCTCAGGTCCCTTTTAAATCTTTCTCCTCTCACCTTAAAAATATGCCCACAAGTTTTGAACACACCCCAGTCGAGGGAAAGGACCTTTGCTTTTTGCCTTATCTATGTGCCCCTCATGATTTTATAAGCCCCTATAAAGTCACCCCTCAGCCTCTGACACTCCAGTTGAAAAAGTCTCAGCCTGTCAGCGTCTCCTTAAAACACAAATCCTCCAGTCCAGGCAACTTCCTGGTAAAGTTCTTCTAAACCCCCTCCAATTTAATAATATCCTTCCTATAGTAGGGTGACCAAAACTACACTCAGTACTCCAGAAGTGGCCTCATTAAAGTCCTCTACAACCTCAGCATGTGAATAGAAAAGGCAAATGGAATGTTGGCCTTTATTTCAAAGTGTGTGGAGTACATAAAATAGGGATGTTTTGCTAAAACTAGTCAAGACGCTAGATAGATCGCACCTAGAATATTGTGAAACGGCTCAATACTCTATTGGTCTCCAATATTCACACTGTCATAGGCATCACCAGATGTTTGACCACCTGAGAGCTTATGGTATAGACAATGACATTGTCAGATCTTCTCTGTTGACCTTGTGTAGAAGGGCTGCTGTAGATAGGTTTGGTCTGCAAAGAGCAGTTTGTGTGAGAACGCTGATGAAATGTTCTTGTCACACCTGAGTGAGACTGATCACATCCCATGTTAGTGAGGATGTATTAACGTAACTCAGACACCTCATGCTTCACTGAGATATGACCATTTTTTGAGCGAATAACTATTGTCTGTGAATGTGTCTTTATAATCCACTTGGAGCACTGCTTTACGTTTCAAAGGCAGGCAATGGCCTAGTGGTATTCAGAATCATAGTTCATAGAATCATAGAACCCTACAGTGTGGAAACAGGCGATTCAGCCCAACAAGTCCACACTGCCCCTCTGAAGAGCATCTCATCCAGACCCATTCCCCATGTCTAAACCACCTAACCTGCACATCCCTGGGCACTATGGGACAATTTAGCACGGCCAATCCACCCTAACCTGCACATCCCTGGGCACTATGGGGAAATTCAGCACGGCCAATCCACCCTAACCCGCACATCCCTGGGCACTATGGGACAATTTAGCATGGCCAATCCACCCTAACCTGCACATCTTTGGACTGTGGGAGGAAACCGGAGCACCCGGAGGAAACCCACACAGACACTGGGAGAATGTGCAAACCCCACACAGATAGTCGCCCGAGGGTGGGATTGAATCCAGGTCTCTGGTGCTGTGAGGCAGCAGCGCTAACCACTGAGCCACTGTGTTGCCCCTCGCTAGACCGTTAATCCAGAAACTCAGGTAACGTTCTTGAAACCTGGGTTTGAATCCCACTATGGCAACTGGTGGAATTTGAATTCAATAAGGCTTTTAAATCTCTGCTCACAGAACGTGGTCTTGAATCAGTGTGAATATATTGACGTACAGTGAGGCGGACTGTGTCACTTCTCACACCTGGAACAGGGTGAACCACCTCTCCAGTGTGAGTGCACTGGTGGATACTGAATCCAGTCCCGCAGTGAGAGGACACGCTCCTCATTGTGAATATGCTGATTGTACAGCAACCCTCTGGAATCTTGGTAATCACTGAACTGCTTCCCTCATTGAAGTATCCCTGAGGCAAACTCTGGATGGCTTTAACTCTCCCAGTACTGAGAGTGTCAGCTGAGTGGGTAGGCAGCAAACAAGATAGAATCATAAAGGAGTTCTTTTACTCTCCCAAGCTATTCATCTAGGTATAGTATCACAGCTATATCTGACTGCTTTCCGACCATGTGGTGAAGAAAGTGGAGAGGAAGGATCACCAAGGGAGCAGTCAAGAGTTCCAGGGATTTAGAGTGCAGTTGTAAGCCAACTCATGCTTCTACTGATCATACTAGACAAGTGGAACAATTCAGGCACCACTTTTGCTGGCTATTGGGATGTGAGTAAATGATCCATTGAGTAATGCTTAGCCCTTCCAAAGTACATGAATCTGCACAGCTAGTGACAGCTGTGATGCCCTACACAGTTGAACACCTTTTGGACTCCATGTCTTGAGCTCCCTTGTGACAAACAGTCCAAAGATGTGCAGGTTAGGGTGGATTGGCCGTGCTAAATTGTCCCATAGTGCCCAGGGATG